CCCCAAAACCCCAAAACCCCAAAACCCCAAGCAACAAAATAAGAAAAAGAGTTCGAGTAAGAGTTTTAAAATTAAGAATCTGTCTTTAGCTTAAATATTTCAATCTGCTCTAAGATTCATTCTTAACAGCGACAAATTCATAGGGATCAACTGTCATCTGGACCATTGTCTCTCTCAACACTCTATAGTTTTTATAAGATAAATCAAGAGATGTCCTTACCTTATGTCTTGAAGCACTTGCTTTAGGACTATAGTTTTTCTCATTCCTTGGAGAGTTGCTTTGATTTCTTCTAGTCCTTCTTCTATCATCGCTTCTGCTGCTGGAGGCTCTTTTTGGGGGTCTTGAGTCAGCTGACTTAGATCTTGATCCATGTCTTCTGCTGCCTCTATCTCTCTCCCTATCTCTATCGCCTCCGCTTCTTCTTGATCCTCTATACTTTCCTCTAGATGAGGATCTTGATCTGCTAGATCTTCTGCGGCCTCCATTTCTATCATTTCTATCGTGATCATCTCTTCTACCGCCTCTTCTTCTATCTCCAGATCTACTTCTTGATCTTCTTCTATAGAAACGCTCGAAATCTAAAATTATGCATACCTTTATCTGCAGTCTCTGGCGAAATGGCCAGTTTTATTGCAGTTAAAGCATTTAAGATCATCTCTTGATCTCCTAAAAAATTTAAATATCCTAAGAAATGGTATTGCTTACTCCTATCTGGCGGGTCTTTTGCTATCTTTGGCACTGAATCTTCCAGATTTCTTGCTCCATTCTAAATTACATGATTTTATCATATCATAAAATGAGCTTACCAATATTGATCTTAAGACCTCCCATATCTTTTCCTTAGAGTTCAGTTACTGCGTCTTCAGCGTCACGTTCACTATCGAATTCAATGAAAGCATAGGTTCCCTATGATACGAGGAGTAAGGTGAGATTAAAGGTTGAGGGTAGAGGCGCATCAATAAAGCTTGCAATAAGCAGGCACTGGCGCAAGAAGAAGGCATACCTTATGGTTGATATCACACTTTCCGAATTTCTCAAACTCATCCACCAAGTCGGTTTTCCTGACGTTCTTTGAGATATTACCAACGAACAAGCTCATTTTCTTTATTAATATAGAATATTAATATATTTTCACTGAATTCTCTAAAATTATCTAATCATTTTCAAAAATGAATTAATGAGATTGGGGTTTTGGGGTTTTGGGGTTTTGGGG